CAGAGCTATAAAACCAATTTTTTAGAACCACATCTATCTTTCAAATGGTATTTAATTTCATGTTATGGCCAAGAGAAAAAGAACATGAAAAAATAGGAAAAGGACGCTTAGGGAAGTGAAAAGACTGAAGGAAATATAGGAGGAATGAGATGAAAGGGAATATAAAAAAAAAGACAGAGAAACAGAAGGAAAAGAAGAAAGTAAGAGGTAGAAAGGAGAGGTAAGGAGAAAGGGGGAACCATTGATAAAATTTGTTGAGCACCTACTATGTCCCTGGCATAGCTGAGGACTTGGGCTTTCTCACTGAATCCTAGAACAACCCCATGAAGTAGACATTATCATCACTAGTTTTTGGTTAGAAGACCATGACTCAAAACTGTGATCTTGGGACCAGCAGTTAGCATAATGGCTATGTTGCTGGACTCCCATGTAGTCGATCATGGTTCGAGTCCCAGACCCAGTGGCTTAAACTCACGCCGGGCGCGTGTGCGTGCGTGCCCAAGATTCCGAGAGGAGAATGGAGGAGAAGGGACTGCAGCGTGGCCATCCCCCCTGGGGGGTGATTTCCTGCTTTCTATCTCTCTGTCTCTGTCTGGCGAGTGCACATGCCCTATAGCAAAAATCTCTCAAAAAAAAAAAAACAAAACAAAACAAAACAAAACTGTGACCTTGTCTCAGGTCAATATGTTAGTATACAGAGGTTAGAACCAATATCTTTTCAGAGCTGTATTCTTAAGGACTAAGGGTGAAATAAAAAGTACTGTTCATGGCTTATCTGTCCAGCCTCAAACAATAGTCCTATCGCACTGAGAAAAAAGATTTAGATGGGCTTAATTGGGGTCTGGGTGCTACTGTCTCTTAACACTACCTTAGGATGTCAATTAATTGAATCAAAATGTTAGGATTCTAGGTAAAGCAGATTCTTGAAAGATTTAGGCCTCAGGATAAGTCTTCTGGGCTTTGGTGTCCCCTCCATAAAATATAGTCCTTAGATGAATGTCAAATTCTGAAAATCTATTTTTATTGTCATATTGCCAGATTTTCAGTGATTGTTATCTTTGAGCTTCTGTTGGGTTGTCGGAAAAGTCATGACATTTTAAAAATCTCTTTGTATATGCAAAAATTTGCTGTGACTTTTCAACAACCCAATAAATGTCCCCAAGCTATTCAAGTGCTCGGCAGGAAGCAATAAGGTGTGAGAACAGTCTCAGTGGTAACAGGAAGGATCTACCAAAATGAAATAGAGGCAAAAGGCCATGCTATGGACTGGAAATAGGTGTATTTCATTGCTCCCGTTTGGACCACTACATAGAATTTTGCAAGCTGTTCATCATCTAACCCTAGGAGGTGATATTCACACATAATCCTGGACCATGGCGCTGGCAAAAGGAAGCCATGGGATGAAAAGAGAGTGAAGAGACTGAAGGAAATGCAGAAGGAATGAGATGTAAGGGAATAAAAAATGAGCTTAGCTTACATGGTCCACATTGAGGACCAATAGGTAGCGGTCAGAATATAGGGAATTGTGACTTAGTAGAAAAATAACAAACTTTTTTAATATTAAAAACTGTCTCTGGGGACCAGCAGTTGGTGTAATGGCTATGTCGCTGAACTCCCATGTAGTGCACTGCAGTTCAAGTCCCAGACCTGGTGGCTTAAACTCAAGCTGGGCGCATATGTATGTATGTGCCCAGGATCCCGAGAGGAGAATGGAGGAGAAGGGATTGCGGCATGGCCATCCACTCGGGGTGGGGGTGGGGTGTGGGGGGTGGAGGGGGGGGGGTTGATTTCTCCCTTTCTG